TGCCTCTCTTAACAATTGGTAGAACAACTAGACAAAAGGTCAGTTAAAAAGAAATTTTTTTACTCAAAACCCTGCCAATCACATTTACTTGAATAATGTTTAAAGAACAATACCTCCAACAATAGCAGAATACACATTCCCTTTAACTGCACATGGTATGCACACCAAAATGAAATATATGAAATGAGCTATAAACAAGTCTTCATATTTTTAAAAGAAAATAACAGACTATGTTTTCTGACTAAAACAGAATTATATTTTTACACTAACAATAAAATAACTAACATGATCCTATCTCCAATATCTGAAAATTAAGCAGCATACTTTTAAATAATCCATGAGTTATAAATCATAAGATAAGAAGACATTTTTAACTTAAATGACAATGAAAATACACCAAATTAAAATTTGGAGATAGCAACTAAAACAAAGCTTAGAGAAAAATACACAGTATTAAAGGCTTATATTAACAAAAAAATTTGATCTGAGTTCCCAACTCAAGAAATTAGAAAAAGAACAAACAAAAGTCAAATTAAGTAGAAGGATGAAATATAAAAAATAAAAACAAAAGTCAATAACTATACCCAATAAAATCAATGACATAGAAAGCAAAGAAAAGAAAATCAAACCAAAAGCAGTTTTTTAAAAGACCAATAAAATTGATAATCCTCTAGCTAGACTAATCAAGAAAAAAAAAGGGAGAAGATCAAAAATTACCATTATCAGGAATAAAATAAGAAACATCACTGCAGATCCTACAAACATTAAAAAGATATTAAGGGAATATTATGAACAACTTTATGACGATAAACTGAAAATCTAGATAAAATGGATAAATTTCTCAAATGAAATTAATTACCAAAACAGATTCAAGAAGAAATAGATCCCCTCTGGCTTGGTGATTGGTTAGGACTCACAAGACTCACAAAGTTGTTGTACTATTGTTATGGCTCATTACAACAAAAAGATACATAGTAAAATCAGCAACAGGAAAAGGACATGGGGTCAAGTACAAAGTTTCATTCCAAGAGTTCCTCACCTAGTGGAGTTACATAGTAAGATTTGCTTAATTTCTTCCTCAACAATGTGTATAAACACATAGAAAGTGTTGCCAACCAGGGAAACAAGTTACAGACAGATGGTCCAAGGCTTTTATTAAGAATCAAAAATAAATAAATAAATAAATAAACAAAAACAAACAAAAAAAGAATCAATCGGCTTTGGGAGGCTGAGGTGAGTGGATTACCTGAGTCCGTGGGTTCGAGACCCACCTGGGCAACTTGGCAAGACCTCATCTCTACAATA